CATTTGTGGTATATTTGTTGTCAGAGCGGCAGGCACTAGGTAACCAGAACAGTCTTCTTACTGTGTTTTCTGCTCATCCATTCCCAAGTTTAAAAACACTAAAATTTTAATCTCAAGCCTACACTTTTCTTCAGAACTCCAGAACTTTTATAGCTAACTTTCTACTTTAATGTAAAAGTCACCTCAAACTCAACATAACCAAAATTAAACTTACAGTCTGCTCTTCAACCATGTTCCGTTAGTATATTTCAATAAATGGTACCACTAACTGGCTGCTAGATATTCAGGAATAACTCTTGGACTGTTACTTCCCCTTCTCCCTTTTTCAAATCAAAACAAACAAAAACTCTGGCTTCCGTACTTCCCAGATCTTTCCAAAATCTATGCAGACTGCTCTATCTTTCAGCATCAACTCTTGCTACATTATTATAACAATCTCCTAACTGGTCTTCTCAAACTAATTATTAACTCTTATTCCCCTCCAACATATTTTCTATACTAAAGCCCAAGTGATAAACTAATTATAAGAAATCTGAATATGAAACTTCCTGTCTAATTTTATTTTATTTTTTAAAAATTTTCTAATTCATCAAGTTCCAATGATACTGGCCCTCTTTGCCTTAGGGTACTAAGTGCTAATGGGATCCCAGTGCCTGACCTTCCCCATTTTCTTCTCCCAGTTAACTCCTACAATGCACAGACTATTCTATCTGCACTCAAATCCCACATTTACTACCCATTAGCTATGTGATCCTGGGCAAATTTGCTAACTTCTCTATGCTGCAGTGTCCTCTTCTGTAAAATGTGGAAACAATAGCAACTATCTCACATCATGAGGTTGAAATAAGTTAACATACAAGAGCCAAGAATACTGCTGGGACATGGCAGTGTCTGAGATGATTCTTCATTCTTCTGGCCTCAGTTAAATGTGACTTTCTCTAGAAATGCTTTTGTGGCCCTTCAAACCCACCAGCCACTCCATGGATGGAAGACAGGGTAATCTACTTCCATAAAGATTTACCACCTTGGAAATCCAATGGGGGTTGCTATGAGTCAGAATCTACTCTATGGCAGTGGGTTTGATTTTTCTGTTTGTTTGTTTGTTTTATATTTTAAAGAGCTCTGGTAGTGCAGTGGTTAGAGCATTGGGCTGATAGCCAAAAGGTCAGCAGTTTGAACCCACTAGCCACTCCAAGGGATGATGATGAGGCAGTCTGCTTCCATAAAAGATTTATAGCCTTGGAAACCCTATGGGGCAATTCTACTTTGCCCTATAGGGTTGCTATGACTCAGAATCAACTCAATGGCAGTAGGTTTGGTTTTTGATTTATAATTTGTTCTATCAGTACCACTCTTTTCAACCTAAAGATTTGTGTACACTTTCATTTAATGTCTTCCTTAGTCACTACAAAATATGTTTCATGACAGTAAGAATGATGCTGATGTTCAAAATTCTACCACTAGTGTCTAGAAGGGCACCTAGAAAATACAGACATATAATATAAAAGCACTTGTTCAATGAATTAACTTGGCTAAAGGCAAAATGTTATTATTAGAAATGAAAAGAGTATCATATGGTGACAGTCATTATATGAACAGATCTGTGTGTGTAGAAAATACCAATACCTCAGTAGTGTTG